AGTATTAATTCTATTCATCCAGGAGACTGGAGTGCTGTCCATCATATCACCTCAACCTTCAACTTCCTTTCCAGGGTGTGAAAGTCTTCAGCATAGAGGTTGTCTGCTTCCTTGGCTGAGTTCAGATCTATGCGCTTTACTTATTTATCTATCTATTTTGTGGGGTATTATGGGTGGGGTACTCTTCCTTATTATTTCCTTCTCAATAAATTCATTTTTGGTGTATATAAAATGAGTGGGTAGCTATCAAAATAAGAAACACACACGACCTATAAGAACTTTAAAAATGTGTTCTACATCCTTAGCTGTAAAGCAAAATTCCATTTCACTGCAGTCAGATTGCTTGTCATCAAGAAGACAGGTGACAGTAAGGAGTGCCAGTGAGGGTGTAGGATGAACCCTTATTCGCTGCTGGTAGGAGTGTAGCATGCAGTCTGAAAGTGTCTCAAAAAGTTAAAACTGGACCTGCCGCGTGACCCAGACATGCCACTTCTGAGCACTTCCAAGTGACTGTGTCCTGCCACAGAGACACTTGCATTTCCATAGTTATCACACCGCTCTGTCCACAATAGCAACAGAACAGAACCAGCATAGATGTCCATCAACACATGAATGGATAATGAAACCGTGCTACATATATATACACATATGTATATATATATGTATGTATGTGTGTATGTGAGATTGTATGTATGTATATAGTGGAATTTTATTCAGCTGAAGAAATTTACAGGAAAATGGATGTAACAGAAAGGGCTACCTTGAGCTTGGTTAAACAGAAATCACATGTTCTTTCTCACATGCAGACCCTAAGTATGTATGTATGTGTATATATGTGTGTGTGTGTTATAAATGTGTTTAATATGTATACATATTTATGGGGATGAGTGTGGGCATAGGCTAGGGAGCTCAGAGGGAGAACGCAGGGTAAGAAGAAGTCTTAGGAAAGGTGGGTGGCTCTAGGACATTTGACACATGAAAGGAGGCGATGGGGTGGGCGGGTGAGCACAAGATGGGGGAATCGATAAAAATAAATGTTGTTTGCAAATGCCATAATAAAACCTAATATATACCAGTGGGGAAAACAGCCAGACACAACATCCACACATGACCCACTCTGTACACAATTGCAGAGGAGGCCGCATCAGGAAGTAAAAGAGTATGATCTGTGAGTGAAGCAGGAGAGGAGACTGACCATGTATTGTATGGGGGAACTGAGAAGCCTTTAGGGAATGGAAGTGGTTTAAAACTGTGTTGTAGTGATGTTTGTGCAACTGGATATATTAAAAGTAACCAAATTATATGTGAAGTATCTCAATGGAGATGTCGAAAAAAATGAGTTAAAAATTATATGTGTAGTAAGTGAGTCTAAGTTAACACACACCAAGCACCAGTGGCCTCCTTGCAGCACCAGGGATGTTCAGAGTATTGATTCCTGATGCTATTCCCCTCGGCTGGTCCCCAGTGACATTCATGGTAATATAAACGTTTCAGAGACAGGCATCGACTGACAGTTACTACTGAATGGTGGCCTAGGTCTCTTCACCAAAGGACACTGAATGACTGGTCTGGACTGTCCACTCGATTGTATGAGCAATACCTAGGAGACTAGTGAAACTCACCTCTGGGTGTCTGTATGAGGGTGACTCCAGAGATGAGTACGTTCTGGGGGCTCTGATGTATTGAGTGAATCCATCCCTTGATGGAGTCATAATTTCACTACAGGGATTGGGAGGTTGTAGAACTGTGGAGAATGGAGGGAGTAGGTTACTGAGCTGTACTCTTGGGGTATAGGCTGAAGCCATGTGACTAGCTTTGGCCAATAGAAATTCAGGCCAGCCTTTTCAGGACCGGGTCTGCCTGTGACTCTTGGAGGAGGAACCAAGGAGAGTTGCTGGCGGCCAGGATAGTTAACAGGATGTTTTAGGAGTGACTTTGGGGATTGAAATGGGGAAGATTCTGAGGCTGGGGACATTTCTCTGTGCAGACAGGGGAAGGCCGATTGGAACAGGTCAAGTGGTTGTCAGGAAGGTGAAGGGTTGGACGGGTGAGAAGGTGCAGCTGGTAATGTGCTGACCACCAAGCCTGACACCCTGAGTCGGATCCCATGACCCACAAGGTAGAAGCAGAACTGATTCCCACAGCAGCAGACCATGGCCTTGTTCATGGGACCAGTTGACATCTTGGAAGTTGCAGAAGGAAGTTCATTGACGTCTCTGAAGTCCCACTGCTGTCCCCTGCCAATTGTCTCTGCTTCTGTCTGACCAATGCCAGTCCATTCACAGACAGAACGTCACACCTCGGTTTTCTCCCCTCCTATACATGGTACAGCAGGACAGTTGCCAGACCCTGCAGTGTTGCCCCCTGTCTCTTCCTGACTGCCGTGTCTTGGGAAATGCCGTAACAGCGAATAACGTCAATCCAGCACAGTTCCAGCCCTCCCCTGGGTAATGCCCTCCACACTACGGTAGCTATCTGTTGACTTGTCTGTTCTCTGAAAAGCAGGACTCCTGAGGGCAGAGACCGAGTCTGTGTGGCTCAAGCACATCTTAATCCAATGTGGGGCGTGTGGAAGTTTCTCAGCAAATATTTGTGGAATCCAGAATTATGTTTTCTGAAAAACAGTTTGTGTTTCAAAAGCCTGTTCTAGCTGGCATGTGGGTAGGGTAAATCCTACCAGTTACAAATCCCTTAGAAAAGGCACATTCTAAAATCTTCTAGGATCTTGGTGTTTGCCAAAGCAATTTCTGAAGGCATCAGATCAAGGTCTGAAGGCCTTTTGATACTTTTCTGGACTGTTTCTACTCGATAATAAAAACGCTAATGGGCCTTCTAAGTCACAGACTTAATGTGGGGATTTCTCCCAGGGGTTGATGAAATTCACATGTCCTTCTCCACTTCCTAAGCTGCTGAGCTGGCAGCCAGGTGGCAAAAGGCCTTATTTAGTGTTACCAGGGTTGAGGGGGACTCAGCAGTTTCCATGTTCAAATCCTTACTCTCTCCTGCTAGGGATTGACGCAGTGTCACACATGTTAGGAGGAACTTCACCACTGAGCTGCATTTCCATTTCAAAAAATGTTTGTGTTTTGAGATAGTGTCTTACTAAGTTACCCAGGCTAGCCTTGAACTCACTCTGTAGCCCTGATCCTCCTGTCTCAGCCTCCCAGGTGCTGGTATCCCAGGACTGCCCCTCCCCTCTGTGTGTGTGTGTGTGTGCATGCGTGTTGTTTTATATTTAGTGACACAGATCTCACTTTATGTAACTGTGTGTGTCCCAGGCTTGCCTGTCATTCTCCTGCCTCTGTTTCCCTAATGCTGAGATTGCAGCACAACCATGTCAGGCCTGCCTCATGCTACAGTTAAGAGATTCAGGAAGGTAATCTGGTTAACTGGCTAACTCTGGTTGGCTGATAGATAGCAATTCATGGAGGCCACAGGGACCATGTGGCCTTCCTGATGGATGGAGCGGATACACCAGCACAGCCTTCCCCTTCGTCCCTCTAGTCTGAAACCAAAGACAGAAGAAGGGGGAGGTCTAGCACTCAACTCAGGCCACTCCAAGGAGAGTTTGCAAAGTCTGAGGCACTGCCACTGACAGAGGAGCCCCAGTCTCCTGGGAATAGACCTCGTGGCACCGTATGTACCAAGCCCGTGTCCGGGAGCCGCTGTGGAAAGCAAGGCTTTGGCACACTTTGAAAAAGGTAAAGGGCAGTCTGGGGCCCAGCCTGGAAGGCTACACGAAGGTGGAAACCCTGGAGAGCGCATCATGGCCCCACCTCCAAGATTGAGCTGCTGTCCCGGATGAACCTCTCTGGGATGCTTGCTCTCCCAGAAGCAAGCCCTTCAGGTCCACCTTGTCTAGACTCAGCTGCCCTGCACATTCTGCCACATGTCCTTCAACCATGCAAAGGCAGACTTCCTGCAGTGTCTCTGTCTCTGGTCTCCCTTCCTCCTCTGTTTCCCACATAAAGCTACATCTCAGGACTGGAATTCTGCCAGCACCGAGCTCAAGGCCACACCCTCCTCCTCAAGCTGAAGCAACTTGCCGAGCTGTGCTTCTCATGCCAACTGCAGTCTCTCCCTGAGAGGGATGCAGGCTCTGCAGGCAGGAGAGACATTTTATTGTGCAAACAGTTGTCCCCAAGGAAGGTTACTCTTCTGCCTCCCTACTGGGTGCATTAGCATAGCCTGATACCGTTTTTTTGTGTGCATTTTCATTTTAGCAGCATTTTAAAATTACAACAAAGTATCAGTGATACAGGATATAAATGAAATGCCCCCCTGGATTTAACGGATGTTGGCACTTTGCCATCTTTGCTTTGAATCTTATTTTAAGAAGAAAACTAAAGCTGGGGGACTAGCTCAGTGGTAGGACATTTGCCTCGTGTGCAGAGTTCTGAGTTTAGTTTCCAGAAACATACACAACTAATAATGATGATAATAATAATGATGATAATAATAATAGTAATGATAATAATAATAATTAGTACAGATGAAGCTAACTGGAACAGTCTGGAGAGGTGATGCAAAAGGTGGAAGTCCTTGCTATACCAAAACCCAGAGATCTGAGTCCAGATCCCAAAACCCAAGGAGAGGTGGAAAGGAGAGGGCCAACTTCTGAGAGCTCTCCTCTGACCTCTGCACACGCAGCATGGCATGCATGGCATCACACACACATATTTTTCATCACACACACACACACACACTAAATCAGAATGGAATAGAACAGAACAGAATGGAATGGAACAGAATGGAACAGAACATAACAGAACGGAATAATGGCATGGGATGGAATGGAATGGGATGGAATGGAATAATACATTGTGTTCCAGGGCCTCATCTAAGTACTCCATACTTGACAAAAATCTGTGAAGCAGACGTGAATGTTGTCTCTCTTTACAGACAAAAGAATCTGGAACAGCAGATTAAGTGACTTGCCCCAAATCACACAACTACAAAATGTTAGAGGCAGGATTTGAGCTTAGACAAACTAGACCAGATACAATTTGCTGTTGTACTTTATTAATATGTTCAGAATATGATAGGCATTTTTAATGCCTAATCATTCATTAGTCATAATGGATGACTGCTCATATCATTCATTTGGTATATACCTAGATCCACTCCTGGGAGTACCTAGCTCAAAGATGCAACCAAATCATTTCTATAAAACGCCCCACGCCATAAAGATCGTACATTTTCTATTGAGCAACTGTTATTTTGGATCCTATGATATCCTTAATCTCCTGTGCCTTGTGTCTTTCCGCCAGGAAGAGGTGTGGGTCATTCTTGCATTCGTTATCAACTGCTGCATGGCAATGTATTCCAGCACACTCAAATATCATAGATGTTGGGGTTCTGTGTGAAGTGAGAGTAGCTTATTCTCACCCTTCTCCTATACCCAGAGCCTCACTGGATATCCGAGAGTCTTCAGGCTGCAGTTATTAGGAGGTCTATTGTACCCCACCTGGCAATTGGTGTTAGTAATACCCTAGCCACTGTCTATGTAGGCTTCCTTATGACAGGAAGGTTGGTAGCTGGTCCACAGGCAGTGACCTAGAGAGAAAAAAAGCAAAGACAAAGTCAAACAATTAAATCAAAATATAATCAAAACCATCTTGCCTTTATGACCTAAAAATCACCTAATTCACATTACTCCTACCTCTTCCTGCTGTCACGGTAGATGTGAAGGTCTGTCTGGGTTCAACAGCCTAGACTCTGCCTCTCAATCAGGACATGGCAGGTCCTGTTACTCAGAGAGCCATAGGATGGAGTTGAGTGCAGGAAGAAGCCCTGTAATATATTCTCTTTCCAGACTGAAAGGGTGGCAGTGTTTTAGTTATCAAGATGGGTTCTCAACTCTTTAGTTCAAACCAGCTTCAAATTTGATGTAGCTAAGACTGGCCAAAAGCTTGTCCTATTACCTACGTGTCTACAGTCATGCCCTACACTTGACTTCAGAGTTGTTTGGGGGGAGGGGTTGGATTTTGTTTTAAACTAATTGGGTCTCTTTAGTATTTGTGAAACTGGACCTAAACACCATGCCTGCTACTAAAATCTCTGCTTGCACAATGGTTCAGCCATTACCATGCTTTTCATTTAACTTGTCAATTCTTATCAAACCCCTCCCCCGACACTGCAAGACAGGCACTGCTGGACATCTGAGTCTTAATTCTCTAACTTCTAGAATGTTTTCTCTCGGGCAACTGGGGCCGGTTCCTCCATGTCATGGCATTGTGAACCCACTCATTCTGGCTTGGATAGATTCATCAGTCCCGGTTTCACCCACAGTTGTATCAATAAACTCTGTGACCATGAACAGATCAGAGTGGGGGGGGGCTGCTGTACTTTTCCCAAATGTGGAAAGGAAGAGCTACAGTTAGACTCCTTTATACTCCGGGAATGAAGAAATAAAGCCAATATCCCACTCAGTGGTTCAGAAGACTCCCTCTTTGTCCTGATGGGAAAATGTCTACTTCCCAGAAGCAAGCAGGGAAAAAAAATGGTAATAAAGGGCCCGTGCTCCTTAAATAAAGGGCATCTTTGCCCTGAAGGAGAATGGCAGGTGTGTGGAGGGCACAGGCAATGCTCTCCTTAGCTGTAACCTAAGAACACGCTAAGTGTGCTGAGCTGAGTGGCATCTGTGTGCTGTGAGTGCACACTGAAGCCCGTGGCAATGTGTGTCTCACGAGGACTGTCTATAGAGTGTGAGGCTGATGGCGCTGTATGTGGGTATCCTTGCCGCTGTTACTGCAGAAAATCAGACTCTTCCGTTTCCTGTGACTGTGTGGTTTCTATTGTCACTGAAAAAATAGCTCTGTGGTTTGGCCACAAGTTTCCTAAGGAAGGAGTTATTTAAGGTCTCTAATTTAATCATCTCAAGATGACCTCCCTACCTCGATTTAATAAGGGAAATTAAAATGTGTTTGCTTTTTGTGAGTATCCTCAGCCACCATCTGCTTAACAATGTGGATGCAATCAGCCTCTGTAAGAAATGGGAGCACATCATGTTTATAGAGAAGTTTCTCTTTTTCTAAAAAGTACATGCATGAAACTTTTACATCCCCAAAGGGTGGGGAGATCTGCCAGAAGCTTAAGCTGAGATTTTATTTCAGACAAGAGTTGGTCATGTAAAATTATCTCTCCCGGCTTCGTGATAATTGTTGTATTTTTAACCAAATATGGAATTTTTAAAACTGTACTGATTTCCAGAAACCCTCTCTGCAGTCAGGCTGGTGGCAGTCAATAGGACTAAATTCATGCCACCTGTTCCCACTGCTTTTCAGGCTTACGTGTCTGGAAAATTGCTCTAGTCATGTTTGCCTCGTACAGATTATTCTGGAAGAATAGATATGTTTTTTACATTAGCATGAGTGCTTTTTGAAGAAAAGGAATTAAGATTTTTAAACTACTTGGAAGAATGACAACTGGTTATTTCCTTCATTAAGGAAACAACGTTTTTTGTTATTGTTTTTTAAAGTACTATTATTAAGACAGAATTAATGTGCAATTAATTTAAGGCACGAACTCAGTTTTTTAGTACCCTCTAGAGCTGAACACCCATCATGCCAACCTTTAGAATAACTTAAAAACAAAAACACCAGTATCCCACATCAGTGACTCCAGCTCCTCCCACTCACCCCAGGTTCTCTCGTCTGAGCTTTTCTGGACATTTGCTAGAAAAGCACTTAAGTGGTATGTGTTATCTAAGAAGAAGAGTTAATGGCTGCTCACAATTCATTCCTTTGTACTGCCAAATAATACTCTGTTATTCAAGTATAACACATTCACTTATCCATTCATAAGGTGTAAAACACTTGAGTTGTTTCAGCACTTTGGTTATCATGAATAACATTTCCAACGCATTCCTGGACAAGTTTGTGTGCAGATACACATTTTTCACTTTGTACATTCTGCTGTATATATTTTCTCTTGGTTACACGCCTGTGAAAGGAGTTGATGGGTCAAAGGTAGCTCAATACCTTTAAAGTCCACCCAACTATTTTCCATAGTCACGGCACCGTTCTAGTCTTTTACAAGCAATGTGCATGGTTCTAGACCTTGCCATTTTCTCACCAATGCTTTTACTCCCCTGAGGTTTGGGGTTTAACGTCCACACAGTTTGTTTGTATCTGTGGCCATCCTAGTGTATATGGAAAGCTATCTCCCTGTTTTATTTTTGTTTCTGTTGTTGTTTTAAAGGCAGAGTCTAACCAAGTAGCTCTGGCTGTCCTGGAACTCTCTGTGTAGATCAGGCTAGCCTCATACTTACAGAAATGCACCTCTCTCTGCCTCCAGAGTTCTGAAATTAAAGATGTGTCCACCACACCAACCTTTGCTGTGGTTTTGATTTACATTTTTCTAATAACTGGTAATATGCAGCATGTTTTCATGGGCTTATAGGCCGTTTTCTATCTAATATGGGGAAATGTTCGAATACTTTACTTTTAAATAATGATTGAATTGCAAGAGTTATTTATAGCTTCTTGTCTAAGTCTTGCACCAGATATGACTTATCAGTGTTTCATCTACCCAGCAGTTTCCCGTGTCACTGTGTTGACATTATCTTTCTTTGAACATTTTTAAAAATTTTAGGAGACCCAATTTATCTGCTTTTCCTTTTGCTGCCCACACTTTTAGTGTCGTATCTAAAATTCCATCACCCAACGGAAGCTCACTCATGGGGCATGAGTTCTTCTCCATCATCTTTGATGTGAACAAACAGCAAACCAGAAGTCTTCGGTGGTTCTCACTCCCACATTCATGTTTTCAACCCATTTGCGCAGGTGCCCTGCAGGCCATCAACTCTGCTGTTTTATATCAGCACACCCAGGTACCCCAGCAGCACTTAACTTATAGCAAGTTTCTTTCTCCATTATGTGTCCTAGGCAAGACATATGACTTTGTTCCTGATGAGGGGCTCGGGGGTGCTGTAGCCACGTTTAAATGGCTTGTGACAATGCAGACCTCAGTGTCCATAAAAACATGGATCTGCAGGTGCACAAAATGAGGCAGTTGTGAGGTCGTAATAGCCTCCCCCAAGATCTCAAAGAAAAATCTGGGAAGCTAGGCAGAAGCATTTCACAGGGTGCCATGGCCTCTGGAGAAGCCCCTGTAGGGTAATGCCTAGTAGACCCTTAGTGGAGACTCTGGAAAGGCGAGCAAACAGCCGACCTTTAAAGGATACACAGTTCAGTGTGCACCCCAAAAGAGTAACCATATGGCTGCAACTAGCAAAACCATAGGAAGAACGTTCTGAGGCCTGAGGTATCCATCTCTCACCTCAGTATGCATGGATGCTCAGCTTGGACTTTAGATTTATGGCCATGTCTTTTTAAAAGCCCCTTACTCTTTTTCTAATTGTATTCCCCTCCCTTTTAGAATGGGAACATATGCCCTGGGCCAGTCACACCAATGTACATTGGAAACAGTTAACTTATTTTAACATACTAGACTCATGACTGCAAGGAAGTTGGCTTGAGTCTCAAATGAGACATTAGATGGTTGAATTGTAGAACAAGTTATGATTTCGGGCTTTTGGGACATAGATTACTTTAATGAGGAGATGAGCCCATGGGGGCAGGGGAAAGACTGTTAGTGAATGTGGTGTGTGTCCCCCAAGGGTTCTTGAGTGTAAACCTGGTCCTCAGCGAGGGTAATAAGAAAATAGAAATTTGATCTGTGTTGTCTAGAGGTGGGGCCTTGGGGAGCTAACAAGGATTAGACAGAGTCCTCAGGGTGGGGCCCCATGATTCAATGCCAGGGGCTTCATAAGAAGAGGGAGGGGTCTCTTGTTATGTGATGCTGCACAGTCTCTCTGAACTCTTCCAACAAGAAGGCCATGACAAGATGGAACCCAACACCATGGAACTTTGGAACTTTGTCAACCAGAGTAAATCTTTTTATTAAAATATGCCTTACCGGTGGTATTGTTACAGATAATGCTTTGGTATGGCTACTGAATGCTATTGGCATAGTTGTTTATAAGTCTTCTGATATAAACATGGAGGCTCATCTCTGGATTCCCAGTTCTGTTCCGTTGGCGTTTGTCATCACGATTCTGTTAGTGCCTCTGTTTTGAATACCATGGATCTGGATCAAGTTTTTAAAGTCTAGAAAGACAAAAATCCTCTGACTTGAATCTTTTCTAAGACCATTTTTACTTATTCTGGGTCCCTTCTATTCCTATATGCATTTTAGGATCAGCCTGTAAAATTATGCTGACATTTTGCATTTAATCTGCAAATCAACTTGAGGAGTGTTGGCACTCTAATGACCCTGAACCTCCAGACCATCATTTAGACCCTTCTGACTGACGAAAGCAGCTCATTTCTCATGATACATTAATGCAGGTCAGTGTCGATTTCTTTTAACGCTTTCTGTTTTCTTGTGCGGTTGTTATGTTTTTTTTTGTTGAATTTATGCCTATTTTATTCATGTTGGTGCTATTGTCAATGAAATTCTTATTATGAATTTTTAGTGTTTGGAAATGAAGTTGATTTCTGCTTATCCATCATGTGTCCCATAACCTCGATAAACTAGTTCATTTGTTCTAA